GAGAGAGAGAGAGAGAGAGAGAGAGAGAGAGTATATGTGTGTGTCTAGTCAATATATTAACCAAAATGCCAAAATGAGTTCTTAAGACTGAAATATACCGTTCTAATATTAGGATGTTGCAAAGATCAGGTAAACATTCAAGGAAAATATAAAACTTTGACCTCTGCAACTAGGGTATCTAGTGGCTAAGGTGTGCTACAAGGGACATTTTTCTGGCAGGGTTTAGAAATATTTGTACCCGTATAGGGAAGGCCACTTCAAATTAGTACAAAGTTGTTGTGAGTGATGACCTTTATCTTCTAGACACTAGTGCCCCAATTCAAAGGGCACAGTTGTTGACTGAAAGAGAAGAAGCAAAGATGTGAATAATTTGATGTTTTACTCGGATCCCAATGTGGACTATTTAAAGTTTTGAAACTATAGATGAAGCAGCACTCTCAAATAAGCATCCACCTCATCCATATTAGGGATAAGCATAAAACTCAAAAAAGTTGATTTTGCATAATACTGCCTTTAAGTCCCATCTGTAGATCTCTAGATCTTTATTGTGTGCTCCATGTTGCCTTACGTCCACAGCAAACAATCTCCTTTTTCCTCTTAATTTATAAAGGGGGTACTACAAACCTGTACCCCCTTTGATGAGCATTATTTTTTTTATTTTTTTTTTTTAAATTAGGTATTTATACTTTAAATGGGAATTTCCTGATGAAGTTGGTTTTCTTAGACACTTAAACTTGCCCAATATTAAAATTGAGAAGCAAGCACTATGAATGAATGAATGAATGAATGAATGAATGGACACTTGCACTTTTGAAGAGGGTTCATTTTTAAAGGACTGTCCAATCTTGTTTGTAAAGTTTTGAAAATTAATGTCTGGCCCACGGTTTCAACCATTTTACATTTGCCACTGACTTAATATTTTAATCTGGATGTCATTTACATTGAGGATGATTCTTAGTTACACTTAAGGACACTTTATCCGGCTTCTATGCCTGCTTACAGATGTGAAAGTGAGCTCAGGCAGAGGATTTATTGATGCAATACGGAAATAGAGGAAGCAAGCTTAGTGAAGGAAATCCTAAGCCCTCCCAGTACACCAGGACTGTGTATTTGTCTTCAGTGGCTGCATCTCTGCATAGAACATTTGCTTGCATCAATATGTATAGAAATAAGAAGAAATCATACAATGTCTAAGTTTTTTTTTTTTGTTTTTCAAAAATGTTAATCATGCCCACTCCTCAACCTTTCTAACATAATATGTGCCCCAAACCTTTTGTCTATGTTGTTTTTTGTCTCAAACATGGCATCAATTATGTCTTGAAAATTAAGTAAAACACAACCCAAACTTTTAACCTGTCATCTGTTGCCAATCTGTTGCTCTTCATGGTTCCTTTCTTCCCCAACTCTTTGTCCTTCCTTCACTGATTCTGCTCAAAACCTTCCTCTCTTCTTCCTTCAGAGCTCAGGGATTGAAGGACTCAATTTCAAAACGGTGCACGTCTCAGTGACTCAAGTGAGGGGTTTGTTCCGCTGCCACACTTCCGCTCACAAATGCTTCTGCTTGGGTTGAAAAAGGGAGAAATCCCTGTTAATCTACTAAATCTGGCTCTCACCATCTCTTTTGTTCACTGTTGCTGAGATACTTATTCATTGACCTTTAGGAATTCATGTAAAGTCGGATGACGCCGGTGAGAGATCCCATAAAATGATCATATTTAATTTTACTTACAATACTTTAACTTCTCTGTAAATTTGTTTCTTGTTTGGCTGGTCTTCCCATGTACTTCAGACGCCTGTTTTAATTTTTTCAAAACTTCTTTGACAAATAATTTGCTTTAAATTTTGACTTTAAGTTTACTGTGCTCACACAGTGCCTTGAATAATTAGGAACCCACTTGAAACTTTTATGTTAGAGATGTTACAGCCACAAATTTTAATGCATTTCATCTGGATTTTATATGATGGACCAATTGAAAGCCGTGCATAATTTTGAAGTGGAAATAAAGGGATCCATGATTTAAATATATTTACAAACATAATTCTCAAAAAAAAAAGAGAAAAAAATACAACATTTATCCATTTAGCCCCATAAGTAACATCCATTACAATAAGGTGCATTCAGACGGACTTAATGTGGAAACCCTAGAGGTTTGTCAGAAAATATTAGTGAATAATCATACTTATGAATCCTGGAACAGGCCAGATAGGTCAGGGTAAAGTTGTAAAGTGGTTCAAAGCAGAATTTGATTAAACCTCTCATGAGACATGGCAATCAAATTAAATGACAGGCCAAACATGGGGTCATAGGTTCATGGTAACTAAATGGGCAGCAGTTCAAGTTTTGGAAGCTTTCAGCAGGACAACTTTTACAAATATGGCGTATATGAAGGACTGAGAAGTAGAAAAAAATATATTTTATTGAAAGAAAGCTACAAGAAGTTTGCCACAACTCATGCGGGGAACATCCAAAATATGTGGAAATAGATGCTCTAATCAGATGGGACCGAGATTTCCTTTTCTGGGGATACATAACTATTCTATCCCTTTGGAGCCATGTGTCGCTCAGCCTGCTATAATCTAGATGGATGTTTTGCTCAAGTGGGTATACTTTGCGTTTGGTCTGCATCAGGCCCCTCCATCTGCGTTTAAGAAAAACGGCCATGAACAGGGCAGATTTAGGCATTAACTCGGCAAGGACTGGTAATCACTACAAGTTGTTTCTCTTTTCCTATGCATTTTATTACCAAACAAATAATGTGTGGGTTAAAAAGTGTGCATCTGCCATCTTCTTTCTCCCTTGTTTTATTTCCCTCTGCAAGACTGCACTTGGTAAAGTATTGATTTGGGAGCTGAAAAATAACAAACCGACAACTGTGCAAGTGCTGTAATAAACAGTCTCAGAAAAAGAAAAAAAAAATGTGTATAAAGCCCCCATGAAATGTGGGCCCTGAAGTAATTATTATTTTCTGTATATGGTTAGAAACAGTCAGCCAAATTTAGTTCCTGCTGTTCTGCGCAAGTTTCTAAGTAGAAGCAAAGAGTACTTAGATTGGGAATGAAGGGTTATCACATGATACTGCATATATCACTGCACTACATAGACAGATATCCTAAAGAGCTCTTTTCTTTTTTGTCTTCATACAAATTTCCAGGATACAGTTACACATAAAGGGAAAAAAAAAGCTCAACAACACAGGTACACAAACTCATAATCAGGAATATTTAAGAACAAAGTTAATTTTCACTTCTACAGGAAGATTTAATGTTTTCTTGGTCCTTGTAATGTAAAACTTAATCTAAAAGGAACCATGCACTTGCAGTATATATGTATTTGTTAAACCTGTCATCGTGTCATGACAGTCCAATATGACACAGATAATCTGAGAAAAAGATTGAGCTTCTCTCTGTTTAGCTTTTACATTGATACTGCAGTCCATTCTTGCTCTGTAAAAGCTCTATATAAAAAGGTAGTTTTACATTAATTGTCCAACACAACTTTTACTATTCTAGATGTTTAACACATAGAATCTTGCAACATACAGTATTGTTTTCAATACAAAATACAGGCAATTAAAGTGATGATCTTCAAGATTACTCAATCTGAAGCAATCAGACTGTCCACTGGTAAACTGATGAGATCTGCTCACCTGGTTCATCATTCCTTGCAAATCTGACATAAGCATGTATGTTTATATAAAATATCTCTTTCAGATGACGGATCACTGTGCATAATTGCTGACAGTATTAAACAGTGGATTGGCTGCAAGGTTTAACTTCCTATGTAAAATCACTCAAAGCTTCACCCACACCAGCACAGACAGTGATGAATGCATACAAACAAAATTATTATTTCATCACATCCTAAATAATATAAGCCATCTAACTTGTTCTTTTACTTGAAACCAATAGCTGCATGGGCAGACAAGTATTGAGCATAAAATGCATGCACAAAAGCATACAAATTCCCTTACATAAAAAAAAAAAAAAAATACAATCTGGACTTGCAAACATATTTTGCATATGGCCGTCAGCTGAGCTGAGATTGCCATTTGTTTGCCACTGACTGATGATCACACCACTTGTCAGCTGTCAGTCACTGTCACTAAACTATTAGGTCTTTCTTTCTCACTTATTTCAGCTCAATGCACAAGTTGCAGCAACACTCTTCACATACAGACTTGTTGATTATCAGAATAAGTTGGGCAAGCATGGAAAGACTTTTTTGACTGCTTGTCTACTAATGACAGCCACCATGGATGGGTGGAAGGGAGAAAAAGGACACATGCTGTCACTTTGATTCACGCTACAGCGACTCTGAATGGGTGGCTCCTTGCCAATGTCTCCACAGTCGTTATACCCTCCCTAAATGACATTTAAAGTGTGAAGCAATGGTTGTCCTTGTGACTCAGTCAGCCCCAGGCCGAGACCCGGCTATGAGCACTGAACCCTCAGCCAGGTTTTGCAACGAGGCCACAAACCCTGAAGCAAAATCTCCTGCCTTCAATGCTGTAACTCAACTCCCTGGCATGATTGAAAATGTGGAAAGTGACCTTGAACACTTGGTCTACCAGCGATCTGATGTGGGCCTTTCCTTTTCATTGCTGTTTAATAGTTTGCAACTTTCTTTTCAATTTTCACTAGTTTTGTGCATTCATTTATTTAAAATTAATAAGAATGATGAAAAAAAAAACATTTTGTTGCACCGTACTTTAGTATTGGTATAGGAATAAAACATTTCAGCACAACTCCACCCAATATGTAGTGTAGAAATTTAGATTTTTGTCATCCTCAGAAATATTCACTGACAATATTGCACAAAAAAGTCACCAGTTTCTTAGTTTTTCATTATTATTTAAGTGTGTCTTGACTATCAGAAAAAAAAAAAAAAGTTGTTTCAGTGCCACTTTTTTGCCACAGAATGCTAAAATCAACATTAACATTAACCTTCTATAACTCTGTTTACAGTCCATACGAGAAGTGACTGGCTACGTGTTGGTGGCTCTGAACCAGTTCGACTACCTGCCTTTGGAGAACTTGAGGATCATTCGAGGAACCAAGCTTTATGAGGACCGCTACTCGCTTGCAATCTTTCTGAATTATAGACGGGATGGAAACTTTGGCCTTCGACAGCTGGGTCTTAAAAACCTCACAGGCAAGTGGCTGAATTGATGTGGCTGGATATTTAATTTTGACTTATTTGAATATATGATGGATTCCATAGTTTTGGTCTGTTGTTGTAAAAAGGGTAAGTGAAGCAGTCAGATCATGCATAGAATTCTTTGGGCTTTGCTGTAATGTCTGCAAATACAATGGTGTGTATTTACAGTACATGTGGCATTACATGATGATTCTCATACCACTACAGTTTTGACAAATTAGTGGCCAGCTAGTTGGGGATCACACCATGTATGCAATACTATCAGTTGTCTACTTGTTTGCTTTAAATCTTTGTGGTGTACTTCATCAGTGGCAGTCTTGAAAGGGCTGATGTGGTGGTGCTTCAGGAACAAAAGCTCTGCAGGCCAAACTTCAGTTGAACAGTGAAGGTTTTACTACAGACATATAAGTTGGTTAGAATTAATACACATTTGTTCAATGTACACTTATTTTATTGTTGATATATATATATATATATATATATATTTTTTTTTTTTTTTTTTTTTATCAATGCATTGTTGTGCACTGAAACGTATCCAACCATCAACATACTGGTAACAATCTTCCTGGTGCTATTAGGCAAGGGACCCACAAATAATTTACCAGATTGTGCACCTGTGCATTTGCATCTGCTGTTTCTTCAAGGACCTAACCAGTAGGACTTAATTTAATTCCTTTACACCAAGTGGTCACCCACATGTATTTTTTCATGATTAACAATCCACTTGTCAATCAACCCTTGGGTGTTTAGCTTGAAGTTGAGAGAACATTATGTGACTGCCTGAGAAAATACACTATTATGTGGGTGGCTCTGTTTTGCGAACAGCAGATGTTTGCGCTGCTTGGTTTTCTTCGAGAGCCCTGACCTTGAGGTCAATATTAAATAAAGTTCTTGTCTCATAAACAACATGAAGAGCTTTTTCACTTCAGGGTTAAGACTGGCGTACCACAGAGAGCCCAAGTCCTAATGCAGGATCAAAGTATGATACATTCATTCTGAAGCTAAATTCAACCTCAAGATCATTCCAAGTAAATGTTGATGTACAGAATAGAAAACTGTTTTAAATGGCACCAAGCAAAGATGTTCAAATAGAAATGATTTAGTTTAAGGCATTTGATTTAATGCTTACTAAAGGTTATAAAAGGGAAACAAATTAACAGCTTATGAACAATAAGAAACTTTCACATAATTTAAATTCTTTTGTTCTGGAATCCAATTTAAATTCAACAATTTCAACTGTCTAAACTAGTAACTTATCTGCAGTTTCTTAAGACCTTTATTGTCATATGGGCTGCTTTCTGCTACTTCAGTAACTTGATTCTGGGTCTTTTAAGCAATCAGTTAAAAGTAACAGTTTGTAAGAATGTACAAAAAAAAAAAAAAAAAAAAAAACGGAAAAAAATTTTCTTTTTTAAGTTTTCTTTAACTACAAATAACTCATCTACAGATGGGTTACTTAAGAGCCGAGGGGGAATCACTATTGGCCAGTGGTGGAAAGTAACAAAGTACAAGTACTTCGTTACTGTACTTAAGTACAATTTTCGTGTATCTGTACTTTACTTAAGTAGATTTAATAATGGGTACTTTCTACTTTTACTCCACTACATTTTACAGTATCTGTACTTTCTACTTCACTACATTTCTACAAAACTGTCGCGTTACTCGTTACATCCAAGTCGCGTTGCTCTTTTTTTCCGTTAAAATGTGAAGTTCAGGGTCTTAAGGTGGCGCCGTAAAATCCTAGCAATAACGTGACTTAGTGTCTGTTGTCACCCATCGCCTCCACCTTTACTCGCACGCGGAGCTCCAGACATGCGCAGTGGTTTCCTCTGAGCGGGAGAAGATGTCTGTCTAATCGTCAGTTATATAATAGCGCTGCATAAATCATAGATATGGCGACATGTAAAATAAGCCATGTAAGTCATGGCTTATTTTAAAATAAGCAACGCTTCGCTTTCAAGGACGGTGGGGACTTAGTCCAACTTTTAGCGTCACTTCGAAAGAAAGCTAAAGAAAGGTAAGCTCTGTGGACGTGATGCTAGCAAAGCTAACTGTACAGAGACACACATGTTGCATCTGCGATAAAAAAAGTTGTCACTCATGCGCTGAATTATTGTGTGGAGGTGTTGACTGAGGTGTCGCTTATATGGGACAACGCTGTGACCAAAGTCTGCATTGATATGACATTCAGGAACGATTCGATTCTTCTGGACGGATCTTTACTGATTAAATTTATTTCAGCTGTAAGTATTTAATATCTAGGTGTTTTATGCGAATGTGGATCTTTCAGATCAATTTGAGAAGCAATTTTGATAGGTAAAACTTAATGTTTTTGTGTCACGTAGCGCGGGGTGCTGGTCTTGACCTGGTCTTGGGTAGGTGGTCTTGATTACATGTCCTCCCCCACCCACCTTCTTTCCATCCCCTTTCTGTTGGATTTCTTTCAAAATAAAAGCCACTAGTGGCAAAAAAAAAAAGTGAAGTTTTTGCTATGTTAGGACAGGAGACAAGATGTTTCCATCCCTGAAATTATGATGCATAGAATCACATATCTAAGTCTAATTTATGTTACAGAGTAAACACAAATAAAACATGCTTTATCTGTGACATTGTTCATTAAAATGGCACATTTCTGACGTATTAAAATTAAATACGATCGGTTCACTTAATGATATTGTATTAGCGATTAGGTAATGCATTCAGCAAGTACTTTTACTTTTAATACTTAAGTATTTTTAAAAGCCAGTACTTTTTTACTTTTACTTAAGTACAAATGTTAATGTGGTAGTTTTACTTTTACTTGAGTACATTTTTGTCTGTGTATTTGTACTTTTACTTAAGTACATTTTTTGAGTACTTTCTCCACCACTGCTATTGGCAAGTAACTCAAAGTACTGTAACAGAAAATGATTATTTGTGATTCATTTTCAGCTTAGGCACAACTTTCACATTAATTCCTGGTCATTTCTATATGACCGCAGAAAAGCTTGCAAATTGATCTGAACAACCATTCTTCTGAACTTCCATGGGAATTCACATGGAAACTGAATACTGAGAGAAATCCCACTTTTCATGTGGAAGGCAAGAAGAGCAACCAAAGTGAAACAGATCATAGTTAGATTACAATAACATTTTGTCATAGCGGATGTTTATTTTAGTGTTTTGAGACTGAAACATGGCACCAGACCCCATTCTGAGCCTCTTTTGAACCTTATTTTTAAATTATTTAATCCTCTCTCATTCTGTCCATCCTCTGTTTCTTCTCGGTGATTCCCCAGAGCTGAAAAACGTAACGGAGCCCGATCAGGCTTTGTAGGCTAAGGCAGTATCTGCTTTTGTGTTACATCACAATGCAGTATGTTTTCTTACATTTTCCACCATTTTTAGGGAAAAGCAGTTGTCTGTCACAAACAGCAGCCAAACCAGCTTTTTTCAGTTGGGTGCCAAGTTGAAGCCAGTGCTCTGGGAGTCGGGGCTGGACTCTGTGAGAAGAGGCTGTTTGATCTGCCATCCATGGCCTTAAGCCATTAAGAGCGGGGGAAGTTATGTACAAAAGCACTGGTCTGCAACTGCTCTGCTTCATCAATCTGTCTCTTACTGAAGAGATGGTATACAGGGAAAACAACACAATTGTTTAAGGCCAAGATTTTTGTCCTCCTTAAAGGCAGGCATTTCATCGAGTCACTGTTTTGTGTCAAACCCTCTTTAACATAATTGTGAATTTTAACTTTTACCTATCCTAACCAGATCATAGTCTCATCACATTTAGTGGCTTATTTCCTGGGTTTTTAAGTGACCATAGAATTAAACTTGAAATATTTTCTGTTTTTTCCAATTTTTCATATCCAAGCAAGTAAAAAATAAAAATAAAAAAATGCCTTTTTTTTCCAAGGACTGGGTGTGCATTCTGTGTATTATCTCAAGATGTTTTGAGTCATTTTTCCCAGTCCTAGTTGTATATCAATTATTTGGGCGTATGTAAAAGTCAAGTCATAAAACTTATCTTGATAATCAATGAAAAAGATTAATATTCAAACATCAGATACATGCCATCTAGGGAGACTAAAACACAGAGGTGTTGTGGTCGATGAATTCAAATTATTATTGCTTAACAGAATTTAATACAGCAACATCTCCTCTGAATGAATCAAGCAGGAAGTGCTTTTGTTTTGAAGGATGTTTGTTGGCATACTGAAAAGTTCCATGTGTAACCTCTCCACTTCCCTACTAGGTAGTGCATTAGAATTTACAGTTTTTTCTGCTCCTCACTTGAAATCAAAGTGTTTACCAAATTTATAGAAAACCAAGTCCTAAATATGCATCTAAGAGTTTTAAATATAAAAACTCAGAATAATTAAAAAAATGTTCATTATAGAACTTATATCCATATGTTCATTTTTAAAAAGCTACACGGGCCATGAAGGGGTTATTAACCATAATTTTGCCACACTCTAAAAAAGACCCACTTAATAATTTAATTTCACCTTTAGAAATAATTGCACATTTCTTTAGGGCTATAGTCTTTAACATCTTTAACAATGCAGTTGAAGTAAAAAAAAAAAAAAAGAAAAGGAAATTACTTTTAACTCTTTTTACTGACACCTACTGTTTAGAAACATTACAGAGAACACTCGGCTGCTTTGTGTAATGTTGCCATGGCATCAAGCCATTTACATGCACAGCAGTAACACAGAGAGGACAAGAAATTATTTACTCAAATGATCTACACTTGCCAGTTACAATCAACCCTGATTAGATGAGACAAAGACTTGAAGCCATCTTGAGCCCATGTTCAGTCAAAAGTCTTTGGAGCGTGAGTACAGAGAAAGTCTGAAATTGTAGTTTTTGCAAGTTAATTGGCAATTCTAGTCAACACTCGAATCTAAGTTATTATAGACTGTAGCCTTCATCTTTGTTACAAAATATAGAATTATGGGCTGTTAACCAAATTTAGTATGTATTAGCTATTAACCCAAAGCCATCAAAACTTATAT